AACAGTTCACTGTGATGTCACGGGCTCGTTGACAAACAGTCATTAAGGGCTTAGCTGCGATCTGGGATCAGTGCAGGGATGTGTGTCGGTGAGGTTGTGTCGATGAGGTCAGGAGGAGTAAAGTTTCTGCCCATCGTCATCCTGGTTGGACGTCTACCAGTCCAAGTCTAACTACAGTGACCGGCAGGCTAGTTATGTGGCCGCTCCCCCAGTTGGTTGGGTTGATTGGCTAGTAGACTGGATCTTTGGCTGCCCTGCTGCCGAGCCTGGTGGGCTCCCTGATTGGTTAGCTGGCAGAGCCCGTTGGCTGGTGGCCTGCCAAACATGGAAACATCCCGTTACAGCCGAAAAAGCCTGGGCCTCGTCACTGCCCTCTTCTAGAAAGCTATAATTAAGTGTCTTGAAAAATGCACCACTGTGAAATGGAGCCCTTATCCTGAGTCTTAAGTGGCTGTACTTTTCCTCTCGAATGGCGAGAGCATGCAATGTGAAGAGGAGATGAAGAGAGTGTCACATTTTATAATAGCGTCAAATATATAGTCATTGTCAAATCCAAAAGTGAATGTATGTGTATGAAGACTTGGGTGTGCCCTGCTTTTGCACTGGACTATATTGATTTTTGGCATCAACACTGCTCTGTCATCTTTTCTATAATGAGGTGTTAATAGCAAGGATAGATTGGCCTCTAAATGTGTGTTTGCTTGTAAATCTGTGTATGTCAAACAGGAAGAGAGATGTTAAGACGTTGACAGATGCACAGTTGCACAAAGACAAGGGAAGATAACAGAGATTCTGCATGGTTAGTTTGCTGACAACTTTGAAGCCAGCGTGTGTGTTCCTATTAGCGGTTCCCATATTGTCTTTGTCATTCCAAGTGGGAACTGGAACAGAAACTTTTAATGACACGCTTGATATCACAACAGGAAAATTAACCAGGGAGCGTCAGCTGAGTTTGATTTTTATTGAAAACAAATCATTGAAACTGAGCGGCAGAAATACAATATTACCATAAATCATAAAACACACATCCTGCTCTATGTGGTACACTGTGGTTCTTCACTGTTAGTGACTTCTCCTACTGTGCAATGACTCGGAGCCAGAGTAACACAGTAGATGAATAATACCAGAGCTGAGAGAGACGATCCAGCTGTGCGCCAGGCGAGGAGCAGCCACATTGAATGAACCACTTTATGCTAGATTAATTTACTACATAATATTAAATGTGTTAATACTGTGCGGGATGGGTCCAATATCCTATAAGTCCAATAATACATGAAGGATACAGCATTCACATTTAATTAGAAGTAGATTTTTGTCTGGGCTAAATCTTGGACCATGAAGCGGGAAAGTGGTGTTTCTTTTTTATCGAACAGCGTATCCTGGCACATTAACGCCTTCTCTTGTGTCTTCCTAACATCTTTGCGACTTCAAACGACATATTTCAAACTCTGAGGTCGTCCTACCTCTCAATGACAGAGAGCCGGGCAGCAGGCCTCAGTGTATGAAGGCAGGCCGTATCCTGTAAGGAGCTGGAAGACAGATGCTGGACGCACAGCAGAGAGGCAAAGCGGAGTCAGATGGGACAAACACTCTTTGATGAGCTGAGCTTGTCAGGGTTAAAGTCACGGCTACACTGGGGTTAAAAAAAAGGGGGGGGTGTTAGGGTTTTCAGATCTGGCTGGGAAAATCAATAGGCTCTTCCTGCTGCTTTAATGATGGGACAATAACAGGGTGTAGAAAATCCACATTAAAGACTGATTAGCCGGCCTAAAATTAGCCTAACTTTATTATCTTGATAGAAATCTAATCTGCCATTCATAAAATGTACCTTCATTTGTCTGTGAAGGATAAAAAAAAGTTACAAAATGAAATTCCAGTTCAGATTTCAGTCAAAATAACATAAAACACATCAATAATTGTGCTGATTAAATTGATGGCATGAAATTGACTGAGCTTATTATTTCATGCCGAACATTTCCTAAATGAAACTCCTCTACAACATTAAGGATGTTTTCCACATTACCCCAGATGTATTCAGTGGTGAATATATTATATTATCTGAGCTGAAACTTAACTCTGTTGGAATAACCGGCTCCACGGTTCCTGCAAGGCCATGTTTATCACTATTACAGATTTAATTACTACTATTCACATTTATCCATCCATGAATTGTTAGTTGATCTTTGAGTATGTAGGACAATGTGAACCATATTTCTGGTGTTTGGGGCACACGGAGGGGAAATGTAACTCAATCACTCTTTTTTTTTTCTTCCCCATTCCCCGTCCGCATGACGAGGTGCCAGATGCATGTCAATGCTTTCAGACTTTATATATCCCTCCCACATCCTCACACACACACACACACACACACACACACACACACACACATGCTAACAGACATGTATGCATGTGCACACATAGGTACATACATTCTTATGTAACACAAGAAGTCAAGTTATTTCAAGTTACAGTCCACAGGCTTTGGGCTTTTTTCTCTCAACACAGAAACCTTATTATAAAAATCTATAAGACTGAATTCAACTTTTAAAGCATACTGTAAAAACAAGCTGCAGAAGCCCTGACAGAACCCAAATAACCTCACAGCTGTGCCTCCTAGTCCCTTTTATTTTGAAACAGGCCCGGATTATCAAAGCCCTTTTCTTAAAGACTCTTTGCAATTAAAACCTGTTAGGGAGCAACGGAAAAGGAACATAGACTGGCAAATACACATGCTGCTGTGTGATGTGGCACCCAAATAACGCTCTTTCGGAGACTGATGGGTAATCAGGGCAGAGGGCGTGGCGGTGATGAAAGTCGGCTGAGACATGGAGTCTCACAGAGGGTGGATGATGCCCTCTACAGTAGACACAGGAGGGGCAACAGGCCTGCTCAGAAACTGACTTCAGAGCAGCATCCCACTAAAACATTTCTGCTCTAAAATAACAGGACATCATTTTTCTATATTTTATTTTAGAAATGTTTTTCTCACAGTATGAAGTTGCAATTATGAACCAATGTGCAGATGACTGATTTAAAAAACAAAAAAGATTTCAACAAAAATTGTGATTTGTTTATGTTTGCCTTGCCCTGGAAAATAGTTGTTTTGCATATTTAATAATTTTTCACTGTTCATTTTACCGTGGTGGAATAAGACCCTTTAGTAAGTAGAAGTAGAAGTAACACGCTTGGAAAATCCTGCAATCGGATAAATTACATGATTTAACATACAGTATGTAGAATAAATCCGGGAAAAGACCATTGTGAGTGTTATTATATATAATGTCATAGGAACAGCCTATTTTATTTACTCTAGGCTATATGTTGGCTGTTAAATCTAAAACAATACATCAATACATGAGCTCATATGTATTGTATCAAAAATCTTTATCTGCAAAGTGGTGGAGTATAAAGAGTATTAACTCTAAAATCTACTGTAATGTAAATATAAACTGCCTAAAAAATGATCAAGTGCAGTGTTTGAGTAAATCTTGCAGTTACTTTTTAATTTTGATTTAATCACCGTACCTTTGGCGCTGTTATGTTTAAGTTCAATTGTAAAATCATTTTAAATTGTATGAGGCACAACAGATGGTGAGATTATGTGTGTTTACTTTCCCAAAAAGAACCAACCGTTCACAATAAACGGCCACATGGCTGGGTAAACATAATGAAAGCCCGTGTTGGTCGAATACCTGTACACCTGCACAACAGCTCTCCCCTGCGACCGAGTGAAACCCTACTCCTGCCTGCGCCTCTACCTGACTCACCGCTCTCCGGTGACTCACCCCCTCCTACCTTATGGAGAGTAACTCACTTCTCACCCTGGCTCGGATCTCTGAACGCTCTTCTGAGCCGCGTATTATCGGGACATAGTGGGTAACACAACGCGGAGTGATGGACTGACTCGCGTTATTCCGACTGGAAATGACCACCCCCGGAATTAGGAGCGCGCCGATGGTCCGGTGGAGCGGTAACATGTTGGTATGTACGTGAGGCAGTGTGAAACTCTTATTCACGGAGAGAAAATGCGTGAGACGTGCGTGTTTCATGAAGGTATCGACGTTAGACTGAGACCTGTCCGGCCGTGTATATAGGCGTGATAGATTATGGCAGAGGGAATGGATCTGACTCCAGACACCACGTGTTGGAGTCGCATCAGCGCAATAATTGCTGGGCGCTCGAGCTATATAAACCACAAAAAGCCTGAGCACGGGAAACCCCGGCCTCCAAACAGTAACCACATTTACGGCTACAAATACGGGATACTATTTTTCCGCCTCCTTCATCTCACCGGCGATTTTTTTTTTAACTTCATCCACCTTTTTAACCTTACAACACTGCCAAGATACTTTACGGGACATATACACACTTGGAAGGCGTCGGTGGTATATAAATAGCTCTTAAGTATTGTTAAAGTGTATTCCTTTGACTTTGAACACTTTGTGTGTGTGTGTACATTGCCTGCGGGCTTTCAAAAAGCCTTTCAGTTTGGCACAAAGACTTCAATGACGCACCTGGAGCAGTGCTTTGACTTTTCACTAAAGGAAGACAGACAAAACGTTGTTTTTTTTTACATCTGAGTCGACGGTTCCCTTTTAAACCTGCCTTTTTTGTAATTGTATAGCCCATTACGAGCTCGGACATTTATTTGATGTTATTTATATCCACACACGAGCAACTACGCCTGCGTTACGGCGCATGGACGCTTTCCTCGAGAAGTTTGAAAAAAGGAGCTCGTCATTTAAAACATCATCAAGTTTTCAAGGGTTGTTTTTCTTGACGGAGAAGTATATTATATATTCGTTTGTAGTGGAGAGGGTTTTGAAACGCGGTGTGCGCACAAGAAGTTTTCCATTGGCAAGCGCGCTGAGGTTCTGCGAGCAGCGGCGCACACTCCGAGTTTTCCCCCTGAAGTGTGTGAGAGAGACAGAAAAAGAGGAGCTGGAGAGCCTTTGGTGCCTTTTTGATAACCAACGCTGTTGTGATGCGAATTCCCGTAGATCCCAGCGCCAGTCGGAGGTTCAGTCCGCCGTCAAATAGCCTCCAGTCGGTCCCAGGGAAGATGAACGATGTGAGCTCTCCAGCGGGGCAGACGGACTCAGCTGCTGTGCCGAGACTGCGCCCCCACGAGAACCGCAGCATGGCCGAGATCATCGCAGACCACCCGGCCGAGCTGGTTCGGACCGACAGCCCCAACTTTCTGTGCTCCGTCCTGCCGTCCCACTGGCGGTGCAACAAGACGCTGCCTGTCGCCTTCAAGGTGAGTCCCGTCTCAGCGATGTGCTCCGTAATTAAGTAAACCATAAAGTGTTCGGTGTTCACTCTAAGATTAAACTAAAATCAATGTAGACATATTTTGTGTATGCATAATTTTTTTCTTGAACCCCGTATCTACTAAAAACCTTTAAGTAGCCTAATGTAATTATTTGTATGTCGATTTATTTTTCCTTTTGTTTTTATTTCAAATTTACAAAAAATGTAAGTATTGATGTCATGGGGATCTGGGAGTTTTTAAAGCCACTTCAGAAACCACACAAATTCAGAAAATGAATCACAAAATGATGGTGATGTTTAAAGGGAGAGAACAAATAAATGTTTGGCCAAATGTCTTTAAATGTAAAATAAGTAACTAAATGTACACATTGTTTTTCTACTCGCATTTTGTAAACAAATAATAATTGTATATTTTTTCCAAAAGGCACTTAATGTAGAAAACTATAACATTCATGTCTCTCTTAAATACCCCCCAGATGGTGGTTATTTTTTACAATGAAAGCTTTGTTTCTATGGTGATTAATATTATTTTTATTTTCAATGTAATTATCTTCATATGTTACAATTATAAAAACTATACCTCAACATATATATGTTACCACCACGTTATGGCCTATTCTAGCTCCTATTACAATTATTACCCAAAATGATATCAAATAGTTTTCACATGTTGATTTTACTGAACATTTAATGAGCAGAAGAGCATTAACAGAAACATATATATTTAAGCAGAGACTAATTGTTGATACATTAAAGGCCTCTTCAGGCATTTTTGAAGCCTTGACAATATTTTGCTCCCATGATATTTCACAGGAAAGGCCCTATTAAATACTTGACAGTTATTATGTAAAGGATGGATCAAAGAAACACCAAAGTGGAAATTTGTAGCTGTAGCCTGGCTGGCTCCAAATCAAATGTGACACATTTTAAAATATGTGTTACTTAACCGTTCTTATTACTATGGCTCTGTAATTATTGCTGCTCTGTAGGCCGGCTCCTGCTCTTTTATCTGCATCCAGGAATCTAAATGATAACACAAGGCCTTGCAACGTTTGTTTTGAAGACAGCATTCTAGAAGTGAAATGAAATCCTTTCATATTATGTCAAACAAGTCTGTCACATTAGCTCGAATGAATTCTTCTCAACAGTGAAACAGAGAATTAGTTTCATTTCATTTTGGTTTGGCTTTCAACAAAAGCATTTCCTTTATTATTAAAATATATTTGTTCAGTTTTAACTTTTTAATTTCTGTTTTACCACAAACAGAGGAAGATAATATTACGTTGTACCCAAATGAATGGAGTGATTTTTTACTACATTTTGTCGCAGTACTAGGGAGTAAAACTGTCTACCTGTTGAATATTGTTTTGAGCAGTTAATAAATGTCTGCCCTTTGACCTCTCTGCCCCTGCCAGGTGGTTGCCCTGGGAGACGTAACCGATGGGACTGTTGTGACCGTCATGGCGGGTAACGACGAGAACTACTCCGCCGAGCTGCGGAACGCCTCTGGTGTGATGAAGAACCAAGTAGCGCGCTTCAACGACCTTCGCTTCGTTGGCCGCAGCGGCAGAGGTGAGGCCCGACACACTTTATCCTCCATTCACTAAAACTACAACTCAGGGGGAGCCATTCGATTCAGTGGTGTGGATTAGTGGTCACGTTCCCTTCGTGGCTACCACATAATGATCTGTAACTCCAGGCTCAAATCCCACCGCCTGTGAGTGGTAAATCGTGTTGCTTGAAAATGAACGTCCTCAAATAATTATTTGTCTTTTTAACCAACTTTTTAATGCTTTGTATCTTTGCCCTTGGGTTTAAGAAACAAAGCTTTGAACGAAAATAGGATGTGTGATCAGCCGGTCTGCTGAATAAGACAGTGTTGTTCTGATGAAAAAGAAAACAAGTTTGTCTTTAAAATAATGTCACCTGACATGACCCGGCACAGTCGAGGCTTATAAACATGTTGATTGCTCTGCACATATCCTCATGCTGTCAGGCAGTGAGACAGAGGCCCCATCCTATTGGGTCAAATAGCATTCCCTAAATATTTGACATTGCAGGAGCGACTCTTCGCCTCATTTAATGTCATGTTACCAAATCGTCTTATTTACGCGCGCCCTCTCCAAAGATTTTTATTTTCTTCAAATCTCACAGAAAGTGGTCGCCTTCCATAAGTTGACGGTGATAAGAGCTGTCAGTGACTTTTCCTCTGTTGTAGCTGTCAAAAAGGGAGGGTAGCCGAGGCAGCCAGGAGAGATGAGGGGCTGACAAAAGTATAGAGAGCAGAGAGGAGGCATGTTGGCTGGACCTATTGCCTCGGGGACCTTGAGTGCGTCTCCCTTAAGAAGTGACACAGAATCTAGTCACAGGAAGTGACATAGGAGCCAGGGGAGATCGGACTACGAGGTGTCTGAAATGAATACCTGAGATAAGTACAAGCAGAGCGAACTGATAGGATGTTAGACAGCTAAAAGTCATGCACACAGAGGCAGGGAGAGCTGACTGAGATGGACAAAGATTGATAGTCAAAGAGCTTAAAATAGTGCCAGAGTACGATGACAGCAAGGTGGGTAATTCAGAGAGGAATCAGATACTTGGGATAATGTCATTAGAGTTAATAGTATAGCAGTGTGCAGGGTTGCCTGAATCAGATCGCAGGTAACGGTTGACAGCAGAGATGATGGGGCCCTACTTTATCACAGATCGCCCACATGCACCTCAGATATCAGGTATGGGGGACACCTGTTACTTCTGCTATCTCCTAAGTCATCTTATCCCTTCTTTGAAAGGCTTGTTTACAGTGAGTGTAGAGCAGGAGAGAGGAGGACACACACTACTAGGTGGCTGCGCCTGAATGGACAGCTGCTCCGATGAGTCGCTGCAGCAACCTGCCCCCCGCTTCCTGTTTCCTGTGCGTAGCCATGGCAACGCGATGCGCCCGCATACCTCAGACGTTACTGCTGCTGCTGCTGACTTGGCTGTTGCGCTCTGATTCATAGGGCTCCTTGTGCATACACAAGGGAGCATTACACACACACACTCAACCCCAAGGCAGCAACTGCTGGGGATTATCGAGAAAGGAAGTGACTATTAAAATGCCTCTCGCCCACTCACACTGCGCTAGACAGGGAGAAAAGTCTGGATAACAAGATACTGGCTCCTCCAGTCAATCCTCCATTAAGACTCTGCCAAAAGACTTAAATAGATCCTCTGAAACAGCAATTGTTGTCTGTTGTTAATCCTCTTAAAGTCGATTTTTGCCAGTTTGTATTGGCTATTATGTGATCACAACCACACTTGGGGACTTGGGGATGGTTTAGCGATGAATGAGGCTCATTGTCTTTGCAGATGGTATGTCATTTGATGTTGTTTGATGTCACCACAGGCAAGAGCTTCACGCTGACAATCACGGTATTCACCAACCCGCCACAAGTGGCCACTTACCACCGAGCCATAAAGGTCACCGTGGACGGACCACGTGAGCCCAGGAGTGAGTACAACGGCACGCACATACAGTACAGTAAGGGAATATGTCTACACACGCACAGATAACATAATACTCCTTCTTTTAATCAGCTTTTGAATGGGTACACCAGTATTTTAGGTGAGGTGCTTAAACATATGGGGTTTATGAGAAAAATGAAAACAATTACGAATCTGAGCTCAAAATATCATACATTTTAGTGTCTAAGCTCCCTACAGCACTGTATCCTACATTTCCCAGAATGCAACTCAGTAGTCTTTCATTTAGACACTATTTCAACTTTACAAAGGTACACAGCATTGCGTAAGAAGACATTATACTCTGAACTGGTTTTTTTACATGCTCAAAAGTAAACCTTATGATGAAAAACTAAACTTTATAGTTAGTGAAGTGCTGCTTTAATTCATCTCTGGATGTGACAAACAGTACACTTAGCCAATGGCAGCAAATGCCCCATTATAATGGTGACAGGCTAATAAAAATAAGTTAATTAACAAAGTAAACGTTTTACTGGAAAAAAGTTCTGATTATGTTAATTGGCTCTGAACAGACTTTTTATTAAGTTGACTTCTCAGAAAGCAGCTCAGCCTCCCGAGTGACGATTTGAGAGAGAAACGAGAAATAAAAAAGTAAGGCAGAATCTTCCTGAGAGGGTACACTGGGTAGCAGAATGCTAGCATCAGCTCCTTTTAATGGGCCATATAAAAACAACTGAGGAGGGAAAAAAAACTTTACTATAGCCCTCAGTGCCAACTGGTCTGGCATGCAGCTGTTTCCCCGACCCTCCTCCCTATTCATAAAAAAAAACATATTCTCATCTCATGGCGTCTCAGTGAACAATATCAAATCACAAACAACCCACCCACCCGACTGCCCGTCACATATGGCACCAGAGACACAGAGGAGCCAGGAGACAGTAGGATTAGTACCACCATCAGTCTCCATTGTAGGAAAACATGTCCGTTGTGCCAAAAAATGCCTCAGACGCTCGAAATTCAGCGTTCATCAACACGCACCCTGAAACAAAGGCACATGCTTGTTGTCAAACACACATGTACTCACAATCACACCCACTGTTTCCCTTCTAACTCTCATTGCACTCAAGCCATCTTGTTTGATCAAAAGCATTTCCTGTGCATCTGCTGTCCCCCGTCAGATAACTTTCAAACAAGTTCTGTTATTCGGTGGCGAGCAGATGGGAGTCGGAGCAGAAATTGTTTAGAAAAGGCCCACTTAGGTCTTAATAGAGTTGCAGTCTTGTATTTGTGTCTAGAAAGCCTTTATGTAAGCCTGTGAGTCACTAAACTAGACAAAGGCACCATTACCTGATGTAAGGTGAGGGATTGGGGCATTGTCAAAAGACTTTACACTTTCAGTCATTATTCCTCCCTTCTATTTGCTCAATTTGTGGTCTGAGACAAAGCTTTAAAGTTGAAGTCTGCATCTTATAACTTCAGTCCCAGGACAGTAATTTAAGCAATAAGGAGTATGTCATCACACGTAACCCTTGAACTTCTTTACTTCGCTGTTAAGTGGTCAGAATTGCAGCGACGGTGTAATTTACCCAGAAACTACAGCCAGAACACGTCTCCCTCTCAGGGGTCATTAAGCCGAGGTCGGAGGGTGGCAAAACACACATGTGCCCTCTTAACCACACCTCCCCTCCTCCAGGTTTCAGCATGGAGAGACTCCAAGCTGAGAGCACCGGCTGTCTCCAAAACTGCGATTCTATCTGTGAACGCTTCATTGACACATTGGGGGGGCTTTGTCGGCCATTACAGCTCTATTTTGTGTTAAACGAGTGGGTAATTAGGAGGCCTTTGGAACTCCGGGCCCCTATAGGGAGGGGTCCGAACAGAGACACACGGAGAAAGAACAGTGGGCTGTCTTGAGCTTGACATACACTGGTACTCTGTGGCTATTCTCTGTGAAAACACTGTGTTGTCTCTGGAAAATAGGCTGACAATAACACAAGATTTTAACGTGGGCTGGTAAGTGATATAAAAAGCTAAAATAAGTAACCATTCCCTATGGTTTTATTAATGTTTTTTACACTTTCCTGATGTTATTGGGAGGTTTTGCTCCCTGTTAATGACTTGCGGGGTTGTGGGTGTCAAGCTCAGGAAGGATATTTTGTGTAGGCGTGTTTGATGAGCCTTATGGTAGCCATATGAGTCTTCCTGAGGGATGTCATTTCCCCCAGCGTTTCCACATCTAATATCAGAGAGGGGGGGGGGGAAAGTTGGACCACCCACGAATAAACGGGGCTCATATCTCTGAACTGTGGCTCTGAGTTTAAGCTAATGAATTGCGTGGTCAAAGTGACGAATATCAGTGAGGCCCTGTTTTAAAGATCTGTGGTATGCTTTTCCTCAGAGGTTACAGTGTGTGTGTGGGTATGGTAAGTGGTTAGTCAGGTCCCTCTGGCCACTGTGTTATTAGCGGGAGGCTAACTCGGTTTCTGTGGCTCCCATTGTGCTTAATCGCTTGACAGCTCTTGGTTACTCTGTGGTTTGCCACTGCACCAACAATTCAGCAAGCGTGTACACATGTATGTGTCTGTGTGTGTTCAAGTGTAGAGGCATGTGTATGTCTGCTCCTGTAGATATGATTGCAAATGCATGTATGTCTGTCCCATAGCGCCTGAGTCTGCAAGCGCGGACCCACATATCATGTTTTGCAGAGAGAGAGTGTGTGTTATTGGTGTCATTAGTCTAGTGTAGCCACAGTGCTGGAGCAGAGCTAATAGGCCTCATTAAATGTCATTTTGAGCTAATAGACAGGGAGTGGTTGTTTAAACCAATATGCTTTTATAGGTGGTTCTGTCTCCCTTCAGCTGCTCCTGGCGGTGGCTGCGGCCAGCTGAGACAAACTTCCTGAGTGATAATAACCGAGGCGTAATAACACAATATACTAGGCTTTCTGTCCAAACCCACTGTTCTCATTATAGTTAATTGATCACAGACAAACATAGGAGGTGACAAAAACCATTGTGGCGTCACATGTACTGTGCCTCGCTGGGGCATATAGCTGTGGTTACTTTGCATAACTGAGTGCATGTGATGTGATGTGTGTGTGTGTGTGTGTGTGTGTGTGTGTGTGTGTGTGTGTGTGTGTGTGTGTGTGTGTGTGTGTGTGTGTGTGTGTGTGTGTGTGTGTGTGTGTGTGTGTGTGTGTGTGTGTGTGTGTGGTGTTGTGTGTGTGTGTGTGTGTGTGGGTGTGTGTGTGTGTGTGTGTGTGTGTGTAGTGTGTGTGTGTGTGTGTGTGTGTGTGTGTGTGTGTGTGTGTGTGTGTGTGTGTGTGTGTGGTGTGTGTGTGTGTGTGTTGTTAGCGGTGGAGGCTAGCGGTCAGGTTCGTCTTTACTATGGGGTTTAAAAGCTGCAGGGTCTGGGGGTATCTGGGCTCGGGGACAGGGTCGTGTTTTGGTTCGATTTTGGTCAGGGTGTTAACAAGTTTGGTGAAGAGGCCCTGGTTACTAACAGGCCTGTAGACAATATTAGTGGTCCAGGAGACCTGTCTGCCAAGCCAAAATATTCCTGTGACACACAAATACTCACACTCACACACATACACATAATACTTCCAGATATGCTTCTGCATAGGTTCAAAATAATAGCTTTAATAGTAATTGTTACTTTATTTGAATTGCATTGTTCAATATAAGAATATCTTTAGATTTAAATTTAGATTTTAAATTTTTGTCCAGTTTTGACCTGTATTTTGTTTCTATTGAGGCCACAGCTCACTCATAGGTAGGATGTGGCAAAAGAAAGTGTGTGTCATGGCTCTCCTACCTATCAGTGGGTAATCTATCTCCACTCCAATCTAAAACACAACCAGTATGTTATAATATAGGGTCATGCAGAGTAAAGCCGCCTGTCCCTTTAAGAGAGAGAGGGGGAATACCTGTGTGCATGTGCAAAGCGAGCGAGAGTGAGGAGCAAGTGTAGTAGGTTTCTGGAAGTGAAAGGGAGTAGCAGCAGTGATAAGTCTGTCTGTACAAAGTTAGCTGCATATCACAATTGCAAATAAATACAACAGACTCCCAAGGAAAATCTTGCCTGTCTGCCTTATTTAAGAGTGGGTTATTGAACATTTAGTGAAGATTCATCGTCGTCCCCGTCCCCCGTCCCCCCCCAGGGGGCACACCCTCCATTTTGGGAACCACTGGGTTAAACGTTAATTGACTGTCAAGGTTTTTAGCAATATGCCTAACAAAGTGGAATTTTGCTTTATTGCTTTATTGCCATTTAATCAAAAGGAATGTTTGACATTCAGATTGTAAGGGTAATTCATGAGAGCAACAAGATTGCTATTGTGGCCAAATGCTATTGATACATTCAGCTGGATGTCATCTGATTAAAAATGAAACTAGATATTATATTTGTGAATAATGGCCACTAAAGACAGCATGCAACAGAAAACAATAGCGGACCTTAACCTGAGCCTTGTGGCACACCACAAATGAGATATGTTTCACCATATTGAATACACTGCTAACACCCATGCTCACTCAAATGCACTCAAACAAACACACACCCACAGACCTAAACAACCTTATAGTAGTGGTTGCCAGGCTACGTCCCATTATAGCTATTTGAAAAAAACTGTCACCTTCATTGCTCCATGGCTGTAAACAGTCTAGAGTAAGTGAGACACCTTTATTAACATGTCTGTCATGATGACACCAAAAGGTCTCTGAACAGTGTCATAACACACACATGCCATTACATGCACTTGTAGGGTACTATTACATGCTGTAAGGCCTTGGCTTTGTTTCTGTCAACAGACGTGTTTGCTCGGTGCAAAATGCAAATTAAACTTTTCCACACTTTTTAAATAATGTCAGCCATAACATAAGGACCTTTATGTTCTTGGATTGTCATGCCTCGTCAGTGACTTCCTCAAGTCCAAAACATCGAATATACTTTTGTACAGCATCCAGGTACTTAAAGAGGATTTGAGAAGACTCAATACTTTTCCCCTCTCAGACAGTTACACACCCACCTATCTGCTGCTGCCTTACTCGGAACAGCTTTTAACAATGGGAGCCGGACAAATAAAACTCACCCGAAACATCAGGAGGAAAAGGAATGAAAAGAGGGAGGGAGGGAGAAAGGGGGAAAAAGAGAGAAGAGAAAAAAAGACTGCAGGCTTTTCCAGAGGCAGTCAGTCAGTTGAATGTCTTATGAAGTTCCTTGAAGAGGTGCCAAGGCCTTTACAGCACAAAACACAAAATCATTCAGTGGGAGGGAGAGACAGAGAGCACGACAGCAGAATAAAGAGTGAGAAGGGGGAGAAGAAAGTGAATCATAAAAGTGATAGAGATTATTGAAGAGGGTCAAGAAAAAAACATCTCAGAGGGATTTGGATCAAAACACTATAGTTTGACCAGAGAGGTGCTTAGGGAGTATACCAAAGCCAAACTGTGTGTGATTGTATGTGTGTGTGCTATTTAAACTTTGTGCAATATCGTACAAGTGTGTATATAATGTGTTTTTGTGTTCAATAAATGTTTCGCCTTTGGGAATTGTTGTGCATGTCTGTGTGTATGCATGTGTGTGTGTGTGTGTGTGTGCCTTTCCCTTGCCTGGCCTGCTTCCTCCAGGCTGGAACGCATGGACCACACAGACGGCTGGCAGCGCTCCACGACAGCCTGGCTCCCCCTTTCCCTCCGTCTCCTTCTCTCCTTCGCTCGCTGCCTGATCTCCCGCACCTTTTCTCTTTTTCCCCTTCTTCATTTTTTCTCTGTTTTTCCCAATTCTGTTTTTATTATCTACCGTCTTTTCTGTCTCCTCCCTCCCTCCTTTCCTCCTCTCTCTATACCAGACCCCCATGGTAGACAGGCGTCTGAATGTCACCCACTCAGCGCTTTTCCTTTCGAGCCATGCTCTGCCAGTTTCAGATTGCCACCTGAAATAATTCATTGTTTCTGACTGCTCACAAAAACAACATGGCCACTGTGAGGGCTCCAAATAAAAAAGTGAAATATGGACCCAGTGTATTCATTCATGGACTTAACTGGCTGTTCCACTGCAAAATGACTGACACACACACACACACATACAAACACAGACGGGCTGATTCAACCCAGGCTCCATGAGCATGGGGGTTTTTCTGAATCAGCCCCAAAGATACATTCATCCAAGCTCACCCAGTGATCATAAACTAGCCTGAAGGGCTTAGAGGGCATGACGTGACATCAAATTTATAAATCATCCCATTTATTAAGGATCTTCTGGCGCTCCGAATTTTCCTCCCTTAGTCAGGCAGCAGGCAAGATAATTTCCTAGTTATGTGTCTGTAGTGATATCTGAAACTTCATGTGTTGGTGTGAGGAGGAGGTTGAAAAGAAATGCCTTTTTGGAAACATTTCTCACTTAGAACCTAAGAATCCTATTACAAATAAATGTAACACAATTTGAATGTAACAACATGTTCTTATTAGCACCTCTAAATCTCACTTATTTGTTTAATCTCTTTTGTTACAAATTGGATTCCCTTTAGACCCAAGGCAGGCTAAGTGTTTCGACAGCCTTGTATTCTCAATTGTCTGGTTACCATGTTATTTTCAACCAGATGTCAATCATTGACCTATTTACATTGACTACTTAACTAGCTTAAATAAAGTATTTATTTTCAATCTCAATCTTTATTTATTTATATAGCACATTTAAAACAACCTTCAGTTGACCAAAGTGCTGTACAGGCAATAACTACAATATTAAATAACACAATGGGAGTACAATAATTAAAAACATGATAAAAAGCACAATAACTAGAAACATATAAAAAAATTGTTTTAATTGGAAACCCGATATTTTGCACCATATAGCCTGTGTTAAAAATGGCTTAAATGTCTACGTATGTAAGAGATGGGTGTGAAAATGTGGCGTTAAATGACACATATCCCTCTGCACAGACATGAAAGTGGCATAAATCTGCTGATCTAACTCCCAGAAAATTAGTGTATTTCCCAAAAACGATCCCTTTACACTCTTTAGTCATGAAAAACACATTGGCACACTTTTTATGAAAAAAATACTCTGCGAATAATTCCCAAGCTATAAAAACGCTTTGGTATTGGAGAAATATTTTCAGACATGACATATATGGGAACTGTTCGTCAACTGTGCTCAGGCTCAGATCAAAATCTAATGCTGCCATTAATTACAGAGGACTTATATTCTGTTTGCCTACTTGCTATTACTAACTTTTATCAGATCCGAAGGGGCGAGTTGAATCCAGACTTATGTCTTTGCGACGGCTGAAATAATACCATTCTAGGATCAGTGTGCAACTGTGTGATTACAGATATTATCTATAGAGGTGTTATCTAATCATTATTAATCTCTTTACTGTGTATGTGCAAGACCGGGCCTGTACTGTAAGTGCATGTGCAAAGGTGTGTGCATGGTGCCTGTGTGCAAATATTCATGATTGCATGCACAGACGTGTGTTTGCATAGATCCATTCTTGCGTGTGTGTGTGTGTGTTTTTCATGTGTTTCCGCGTGTGTGCAAGTTGCTCACATCTGGTCTGAATCTGTCCATGTTTCCGGCCGCTGGCTGGGCAGGGAAGTGGCAGGCGCTATCGAAAATCTCCGCTGTTTTCACAGGGATGATGGGAATCTCAGGGACTTTCCCTACGGCAGTGAAATCATCCGCCTTTCCCGCTCCTTTAAATACCCCCGGCTCATTCCTCCGCCCTGCTAGGGTTCCGATAAAACAGCTGAGACGTCTTGTGTTTGGCAACAGTTGTCGTCTAAAAGGTGTAATTAACTCATGAAAAACTGTATTTACTGTCAAGGCAGGCTAAACTAATGGACTTGAGGTCTGGCTGTTTGCAGTGTAAATTGGACCTGAATGTGGTGGTTGACATGCTGCATTCCTATAGGAGAAGAAATACGTTGGTTTCCTTTAAAACTGGGTTGCATCCATAGGTATTTTGACAGTAAGGATGGTAGCTGAGTGTTGCTGAAATTGTGACAAGCTACCAGTAACATCTTCTATCTATCATGTTGATCTATCATTATCTCCTTAAATATAAATGTAAATATCTGTCTGTATTTTGGGATCTTCCTCACACAAGTCGAAATCCTAAACCCTTTAACTATTCACCATTCGCTGTGCTCTGTGTTCACCACTGTGTCTGCTGACTGGTTGAACTCAATCCAATACTCTTAATTTACTGGTCATCAGGGTCTCTTCCTCTCTGTGTGCCTCCTCCCCCTCGTTTCTGTCCCTCTCTGTCTCCCCTCATCTCCCTCGGTCTCCCATTGCTATTTATTCCCATCACTAGGAGACGGCCTGTGCACAAAGCCCGCACTGTGTCCCGAGGCTTTTTTAGAATAGAAATTTGGTCTGTTGAAAATGGAAACGCAATGATTGACTGGGCACAGCTTGCATAGAGTGATGAGGAACGCCAAAGTAATGCACAAATTATCCAGAGAAATATTATTAATGAAATATGGCCATAAATGATGTTATGAAGAAAAAGAAACTTCAATAAGCTGAGGGTTTTGCAAGTAGCCCTTATTATCCCCCTTCCAAGTCATCTATGTTAAGAAGTGGATGATCAGATTGTCTGTTTATTTGAACTTGATGATGCCAGTATGGTAACGTCATTGTAATAAAAACAAATCATGGTCTGTCAGACTGTCACTGGCTGCATCTTCACTCCTGCCATTCTCAAGTCAGAATTCCATAATAGTTGTTCGGAATAAATTAATTTGTTGTGAAAGCATTTCTGTGGTTGATATTTTTTCCAGACTTGCTGTAATGGACAAATAATACACAGAGGATTAAAATGATTATTTGTAATGTCTTCTGGTGTTTTTATTTGATATTGAAAGGGACAAAAGAATCTGCAAAGAGAGATGATCTCCTTACTTGACACCGATCGTTACCGTAACTGTAGTGTCAGGTCTTTGTTCCCAGGCAGCAGGCAGGTTGGGCAGGATTCTGAAGTAGCTCGTTGTTTCTACCTGAGCCAACTGGAGCTCCGCCAAACACAGCAGGAGTTTCTACCCACCTCTGTTTGATATTTACTTTACCGCCTTTACAGGAGGTAAAGTGCGGGACCAGACAGACGCACCAACATAGACCTGTGTCAGTGATAAAAAGGACTGTGTGTGCACAGGCTTCTCTTTCTACCCCACCTTAGCTAAACTATAGTATATGCCTGCACCCCATGGGAACATATTTGTTGTGGTTCTTAATATAGGGCCCACATGGCTGCTGGGATAGAATTAGTCACAATTGACACACTGTCTTGTGATGTCCTGGAAGTGTTTGCAATGTGCTTGTACTGTATTTGTATATTGAAGGGGTCTGGAGTTAGCCCAAAAGAGATGAGAGTATAATCAGGGCAATAAAGGGTGTACAACTATTGGCAGAGGAATGCCGGAAAAGATATACATTTTTGGCATAAGTTACGACTCCTGTGGGGATAATTGGGCAATGGCGTGAGAGCTTGTGTTTACCTGATGAAGAAGCCTCAGGTTAAAACTAAATATACTGTACATGCAATGTCTCACACACTCGTAACTCTCTCTAATGCTCTGATGCAAGGTGAGAGATGATTGTTAAGTCTTTGTTAGTTAGCAGGATGTAGTTGCATCCCATCCCAAAAGCCTCTCTTTACCTTCTCTTTGTTTAGGAGCACACACTGTGTTTACCAGGTTAGGCATGGCACACAGAAGAACTGAGTCATTTTGACACTATGGAGAATCCCTTGGTTTTGACAACCTTCTTTCCAAGAGAAAAAACTAACAATGATCTGTTCAAAACTGCACGCATAAACACCATTATCAAGTACAGTTTGTTCCCCTGCACCTTGAAACTTCCTAACTAATAAATAGTTGTTTTTCCTGTGTCCCCAGGACATCGTCAGAAACTCGAGGACCCTCCAAAGACTGGGCTCTTCTCAGACCGCCTCAGTGAGCTCGAGAGGATGAGGGTGAGGGTGGCCATTCCCAATCAAGGCCCCCGGCAAATTCTCAACACAGGGCACAACTCCTTCAACCCGCAGGGACAGACGCAGATAACAGGTGAGCAGCCTCAACTCCTAGTCTCAGACACAGAAACGATAGAGTTTAAGAACATTACAGCAAGCATCCACTCTTTGGAAGTGTGGTAGAGCAGGATCTTACTGCACTGGAGCTGCTATTGACCTCCGACCCCCTTAATGACATGGTTTGGCTCCCCCAAGTGGCTTCTGTCATTGAACACGATTCATTAAATAGGGTTATAATACAAAACCTTAACCGGGGACATTTTTAACACAGTGACAAAGGAAAAATGTTATCCAGAATTACAAATATTTAAAATTAAATGTCTTTTGTATGTCCTACAATGACCCTAATAAGTCGTATATTTTAGGCTGGGAGATCAATCAACATATATATGGGCTATTTAAGCAATAGCTCACGAGAGGCTGTGGTTTTCACCCCAACGGTATACTGTTTTTCTCAGGCGCGGAGGGATACTGACTTGTGAAAAGTAACTTACAATTCTACCCGTGGTATACGCTCAGTATATCACGGCTAAGAACCAATCAGATTGCTTGATTTGACTTGTCTGTTTTATATATATTATGTATATTTATATATACACATGGTCATGATCAGTCTGCAGTATTATAACATTTAAAAAAGATTGTACTTCCAAAGAAACAAGACAACTTGTTAGATTTACATCAATTTATTTGTATATTAGGTTATGTCATTAGGCATAATGAGTTTGCAATGTTGTGACTTTAAGATACATATCTGAAAATATTCCTTATAATGTTTCAGATTTCAGATAACATGCCCATGCATATATTTTATGTTTTCAAAAATATCAAATGTTCTGTCCAAAATCCTAAAGCATATCACTTAAAAAGCAAGAAGGCTAAGTCACAAAGTGTATCAAACTCTACTGTATGTGAGGGGAAACATTAAACCCACTCTGGGGCCATGTGCACATCCTGATGGGACCACAGAACGCTCAGTGCAGTATGTTCCACTGCCTCCTGGATCATCTGTCCTTCTCTGCTCCATGTCACTCTATCAATCTACATCCTAGAAGGTAACACCATCTCTCACGGCTGGGGATGGCTGCTACCTGATCCTCCACACCTCCGTAGGCTCGTCACAGGTCGTCATTTAGCTCTTAGTTACTGTCTGCCATGGCTTTGTAGTGTTACTTAGTGGATCATTTGAGGCATGGTTGGACAGCGTGTGGCAGGGAGTATTATACACTGGACTGGACCTTAATGGCATGTGAGCAAAACAAATCTCCAGAGTAAATATTTAGAGATGAAGGATGAAGTTTATATCCAAGTTCAGCTTTGATTAAAGAAGTGGTTCCTGACCTTTGTTGTCCGGCCTTCCCCCAATAAAAGGATTTTTCATCACAAATTACAATGGGTTTAAAGTTCATTTTACACTTTAAATTATATAAAAGTGGATATTAATGTTTTCATACAATTGAATTTTCAATGATTTAGTTGTGTCGCATTTGCATTCGTAGTACGTACCACCGTTTTTATTTATTTTTTATTGTATAAACATGATTTTATCTCAACCATTTATCCCTTTGTACTTATACTGTAGCTAACAATTTTAACTGTTTATCTATTCCTTTTTTAACTATACTAACCCTTTATTAATTTCTACTTTTGGATAACTATCTTAAATGTTTGTGAATTGATCTATCTAGTTGAATTATGAATCCATGGCTTTTAGCTTAACTGTTTCTTTTCTTTTTTAACCAAACCATTTCAAACTTTTATCCATTAATACTTTCAGCCAGCTTTTTCAACTCTTAACTCATTATTTTTAGATAACTATTCTTTCAATATTTGTTCAAACGTCTTGCTGTTTTGTCCTCTCTGCTATCGTGCTTACTACTTTTCATGCACGTTTAATAACAACATATACCAAAAACTAAAGCTTACTCAATATGTTCTTAATCTCTGTTGCATGTCTACAACTCCTGGCGGCACCTACCTTGTGCAGTAATCCCTGAGTTAGAGATTGTAAATCACTACACATTAGTAAGCTAATTTCATCATAACACATACAAATAGCTCCCATAAAATGTAATATCGAGCAACTCTCATGCTCTCCGATACTGTTGCAACACAGACATACACAATAATGTGTGTGTGGCGGTTGTTTTCTTGGTTGTCTACCAGTGTGTTTACATCTTGGTTGTGTGCCAGCAAGGCTCTCTGTCCTCAGCTGCGAGCACAATGTTTTATAAGGCAAACAGGAAGATCTTCTCTTGGAAAGTAAACATTAGATGTGTCATTACGGAGGATGTTGCATAACGCGTCCAACTGATACTTACCTCTAAACTTAAGGACAGAGACACTAGAATTCAACAGTTGTGTCATTTTTGGTCAATTTGCCAAAGTAAATAGAACATATCAACCAGACGATGGGCCAGTGGTAACTATTCTTTGTCTTTTATGTCTATTTACCTCCTTCTTCCTGTCCTTACCTCGCTTTCCTTCTCCCCATCAGACCCTCGTCAGTCCCAGTCCTCTCCTCCCTGGTCGTATGAACAGACGTACCCGTCCTACCTGAGTCCCATGGCGTCCCCCTCCATCCACTCCACCACCCCCCTCTCCTCCAGCCGAGGCACGGGCCTGCCTGCCATCAGTGACGTGCCTAGACGATTGCCAGGTAGATCCATTACTTTATCTCCTTAAATCGCCACAAATGATCCAGATAATACATGTTCTTAAGCGATAGACGACAAGCTCCTACTCAAAAGCAGAAACATAAACAAAGACTACAAAAAGATCCATGTGCTACCATTTACCAAAGACTTCCATACATAGCGAGCTGCTATTGGCTCATTCTCAAATTACAAGATTTGTCCCACTGACTCTCCAGAGAGCGGTTTGGATGGCGTGGACGACAGAAAAGAAAAAAAACGATTGTTTCCTTTTTTCCCCTCTCCAAGCCTTTGATCCCAGATGAGTATGGGTAATAACAGGCCCAGGGATAATAACAGGCTGACAAATAAAGTGTCTTTATAGCAATACGCCACTCTCACAAGGCATTCTGGGTAATTGACTTAGCCAGTGTGTTTGCCTTAACGGCAGCATCTGTGTTCCAATTTGTCTCTGTTTTTTTCCCCAACCTGAAAGCTCCTTAAACTCCCTACATGCCGCCAGACAAGTTTCTCCCCCGTACACCTGTTTGACTCACTGCCATGAGAGTTTTTTTTTCTCTCTCTGTTTTCTTGTGCTAACATACTACACACTCGTGTGTGTGTGTGTGTGTGTGTGTGTGTGTGTGTGTGTGTGTGTGTGTGTGTGTGTGTGTGTGTGTGTGTGTGTGTGTGTGTGTGTGTGTGTGTGTGTGTGTGTGTGTGTGTGTGTGTGTGTGTGTGTGTGTGTGTGTGTGTGTGTGTGTGTGTGTGTGTGTGTGTGTGTGTGTGTGTGTGTGTGTGTGTGTGTGTGTGTGTGTGTGTGTGTGTGTGTGTGTGTGTGTGTGTGTGTGTGTGTGTGTGTGTGTGCCCTGAACGAGGGTGAGTGATTACGCGACACAGCCGTGTGACTCTGCATTAGAAAGGGTTTAAAATCCAGCCAGCTGCCTTGTCAGCTATGATTACTTTGGTCTTTCCCTTCTGCTTTCATCTCATGAGCGTCAGGCTTTGTTCTCAGTGACACACGTGCATGCGTACAAACACAGGCTCGGAGAAAAAACCCTCTCCTCCCACCTTGGCCCACTCGCACACCTCCAGCACTTAATGCCTTCTAAGTGATGCGACTAAGGCTCTCAGATCTCTGCAGATCAAGTTGACACCTCGCCAGGCTGCGCTGTAACAGAATCCAGCCACAGAAACATACCAACAAGTACGAGCAGAATATGGATGCTCCAGAGCAAACTCTGCGGCGTCACACTGACACACACACACACGCACACACAAACACAATCCAGCTCATCTGAAATGTCACAGTCGCTAAGAAATGGGTTGCAAGAGTTCATCAGTCAAGTAAAAACACCTAATTCAGAAGTGATGCTCTTCTAGACTTTGTAAAAACCCTTTCTAAATATTTTGACATGGTTCCACTCTGGTTTCTTTTAAGCTAATAAAGATCGATCTGGCTCATCATCACAGGGCCCCTTTGAGGACTAAAATAGGTCCAAATGTTAAAAGCAGGAGTCAGGAGTTTATTGAACAGAGCTGGTCACGTCTGTGATCACAGTGGAGACAATCACCTTCTATTTCTATTAGAATCAAACGGATCTTGTGGAAAGAGGAAGTTTAAAACGGCTTAATTGGCAGCATATGCTATCTGACTAGCGACAAATTCGGCTTCGCAATTCCTCCCTGCACATAAACACTGCGTCCCCCTCCTCCCTCCTCTTCCCCGCCACCCCCTGTCCTCTCACAGCAGACATGGTGACACGGAAGACGCCTGGTGATTTATGATAAGAGCTCCATGGCTGGACTAAACCACTGAGAGGAGACGAGAGGGAGGGAGGAAGGGAGGGAGGGAGTGCGAGAGGGGGAGGACCTCCTATTCTCCTTCAACTCTGCGCCCAGCGCAAAGCTCGCCACAGCCAGTTAGTGGTTTTCGGGTATTTTTTAAGGGATGAAGCAAAGAGAGGAACGAAGGGTGAGATGGAGCAGCTCCTTCTCGGCTCTCACTCGCTTGTTGCGCGTGCACACGTACACACACACACACACACACACACACACACACACACACGCTGGAGCCGATGGGAGGCGAGGAGAGGAGCCACATCAGAGCTCAGCCCTGCCTCATTATGGATCTCATGGAAACTGTTTCTGCTCAAAGTGTTTCCACATGTGCAGCTCCTGATTCATCCCAACTGCTTTTTTATGTGCATACAGTATTCACACACACACATACACACCATCAGCCCCCCCACCAAACACATGCACCCACACACACCGTTTGCACATACACATTTGCATGCATAAACAGTTATACAGATAGACATGCGCCAACACACACACAGAAACATAAATATGCAGAGGCATAAACATATTAAGGGATATGCATGCACACAACGGCTCTGATGTGTTTGTTAACTTCATCAAACCTCAAGAGCTGGATTGGAAAACTCCAGTGAAGATGACAATATTTTTCGACTAATAATATTTTATAGCTCTGCACACAACATCCATTAGCTAAAGTATTTTCCTAATTTGGTTAATACACTTCTTTGGCTTGAAATATTTGATTACATTCAATTCAGTTTACTACTGTTTAGCCCCTCAAGGGACTAATTTGTTCAATTCAACTACGCATAAATAGTATCCAAAAATACAAGTGTCACTAAATCAAAACTGACAAACTGCTATGAATCGATTTCTGCTTCTATGATGATGTGTGCTTTACTGCGAATTGTAAAGTAATTGTGTTTTTTATGTTTCAACAGGTTCTTCTGACTTGAGCCCGTTCCCGGGTCAGTTTGAGCGCCAGTTCCCGAGCCTCTCCTCCATCACAGATAGTCGTTACACGGGCCCTAGGATGCACTACCCAACCGGCTTCACCTACACCCCACCCGTCACCTCCGCCATGTCGCTGGGCAGCGCGCACTACCATACCTACCTTCCCCCCCCATACCCAGGCTCCACCCAGAGCCAGAGCGGCCCCTTCCAGACCAGCAGCACGCCCTATCTCTACTACGGCGCGTCCTCCGGCTCCTACCAGTTCTCCATGGTTCCCGGCGGGGATCGTTCGCCCTCCAGGATGATCCCGCCTTGCACTAGCGCCTCCACGGGCACCTCCCTGGTGAACCCCAACCTGCCCAGCCAGACGGAGGGAGGCGTGGACGGCGACGGGAGCCACAGTAACTCCCCGACTGTCCTCAATCCCGGGGGCCGCATGGATGAAGCCGTCTGGAGGCCGTATTGAATAAAACCAAAGGGGGACGGAGAGGGGAAGTCAAATGATGTCATGGTTTGAAAGCACAAAACCTTTATTTTTTCATTAAAAAGGGGATTTTTGAGCTCTCATCAGCTATCTCTTCCTGGTACTTGGAAATTAAGGTTGAGATAAAAAAAGAAAAAGCCAGACTTGTATGGACTCGTCTTCCTAGAATGTGTTTTGACCAAGGCACTACAAAGGGAGTCATTCTCACAGCAATAATGAGACAAGACAATTGTGGTTTACTAGGCCCAAGTGGATGAGACATTCTTTAGATTTCATTATAATCCACAAGCTAAGGGATGCTTCAACAATATTTGTAAAAGACTGCCTCTTTTGTATTGTGTTTGTATTTCAATAAGGCTTTTTGCAGAGCATGTTTTTGTACTACGACAATATCAAGATGCAAGTTAGGCACTGAGTAGCAAGTGATGAGAGTAACACATATGTTACCTCAAGTGGTATGGACAGTAAATTTGCTTTAAACCATTTAATTTAACTTGTATATTGTGGGTGAAACTTGGATGTAGATTGAGGCGTTTTCTTAGTTTTAACTTATAAAGCCATAAATTATGTATTGTATTTTAAACTTGAGTCAAAGAAGTGTAATCTGAATATTTGTGATGCATCTATATGACTAAGTTAAAATTATGTTCTTTTCTTTTTGATAAGTAATTTAAATAAGTGAGAGCTTTTAATTTCTTTTGTAGTACCCAAAGATTTAAATCGTTTCGAATATGAAATGTAATTTCCAAAGAGTATTGCAACATGTTTTCTCCTGGTGTAACTTTCAGTTTAACTGCTCCACACGTTAAGAGCCCGACATACTCGCTAGGCGTTGACACACATTTGGCTCGGAATGAAACCTTTGGTATTTATTGAGCAATAACTCGTATTGTGCCTCTTGGCAACAAACCATGATAGAGAGCTTCAATGGGGGAACAAATAATTATGCTTTAGGGGGAATTCGTTCTGATTTCTTTAGTTGGTCTAGTCTGACATGCACACAGATAAATATGAATTTTCTTGTCCAAATAAGAAATGGTACATTTATACAAACTCTATAATGGTGCCACGCCTAATGGTGCACTCAGCGGGTCAGACTTTAAGGTTTGCTTCTTTTACGATACATGAACTCCTCAGGACTGGAATTATCCATAGATCTCAAATCAATACAGATTTTGTAGATCTGCATATCTTTTTTTTCATATCCAATGTGGCTGAATCATCTGTCAAGATTATCAGAAAAAACATGCCAAGTCTATTGTAGCGTTCATATCATGTGCAGAAGATAGCTTTGAAAAAGTTTGTCTTAGTGTGTGACACACACGGGTACTTTGTTTGTTTGAATTTCTCTCTTTCAGTCTCTGAGACTGGAAGAGAAATATCACCGTTAAAGACAAAGAGACTGTGACATTCCTTCAGACATTTATTTATTTTCCTTATTTTTGTTGCTTTTGTTGACATGGTTTACCTAACCGATTTCTCCTCACTTATCCGAGTCACAATCTAAAATCATTCTGTGGCAACAGTTTGAGGCAGAGGTCTGATATTTTCCATTTAAAATGAATATGTGAGATTTTTAAATAAAATAAGTGTTGGGGTTAAAGGAAAAAAAAGTGCCGAAACCGAGATGATTGGATGCAGCTGCTGGCAGCAAACTGGTAACCAAAAAATATGGGAGACTTGTGTATGTTTGTTTCATAAAGCACTTATTTCTTGTTTTATTTTCTAGCAGCACTTGCGGCAGGCTGCCAGCAGGGCTCGTGGTTTTGGTCCTCAGTGCAGATATAACACCAGTGGAGTCACACATACACACACACACACGCACACTCAAAATGGATAACACTTGGCCAAACAAGCCATTGGAGTTGAATCTGATCTCACTAGGCAGTTGGTTTTTTTTTTTGAAAAAAAGCGTTTTTCTTGCTTTCATACAATATGATATTCAGTGCATGAAGGTAATATAATAACCCAATTTGAAAAAGCTGAGAAAAACATGGCCCTGTCCAAGGATCAGACTTCAAGCTTTTCATTGAAGGTTTGCACGCAGCGCCTGTTTTCCAGTCTCTGCCGAGGATGTTCTGAACTCACTTAATGGAATTGAACATGTCAAACTACATTTCCCCAACTGCTCCAGCCCAAATGAAAAATCATTTTGCTGTTACAGTGTAACACGAGAAAGCAAACATTTTAGATTGTTGTGATTTTAAAGCTTTTTTCCAATACAAATTTGGTTAATGTATCCATAGTAACTATGCACATATGTTGGACCTTTTTTTAATCAGCTTTTTTCTTTCCAAACTTTGGGCAGGAAATGGTCTTTTAAAAACTGTTTACACATCAATGCAGCACTGACATCCCAGTTTGTTCTTATCTGCTTTTGTTAGTGTTGTGTTATGTTTCATCAGAACACAAGAGGTTTGTCATTTTTCTTTCTTTTGGTTAAATGTTGTATACAAACTGTCATCAAAAACCTTGTATTATTTAATGATCCACATGTATGATATCCAGGAACCATACCTTACCCTGCTCTTATGTTACGTTTACTTGTTATGTATATTGTTATGCTTCTTCTCTCATGAACACTTGTCAGGAAACTAAAGCTAATGGAGACCCCATTAGATGTTGCTGGTAGCCTACGTTTCACAAACATCAAGTACGTTTTTTTTAAAGGGACACACAGACCTGACAACATTGAGTGAAATTGGCATTGTGATTGTACATGTTGTTTATTTTAAGAATAAAATAGGAATTTTGTAACTTAATGTTTGCTCTTAATCTCCTCTCTTCACTAAAATACGTTTTTGTTTAATTTAAAAAAGGCAATATGCATGTGTATAGAGATCTAAAAACGACTTTTCGTCGTATAATAATGTTAAACAAAAAATATATAATAAAACAGTAATATATATGGTATAAAACGGTTTTATACCATATATATTACTCTTTTATTATATATTTTTTGTTTAACATTATTATATTATAGTTTTTCCACATACAAACAAAAAACTAAACAAAAATTAGGCCGGAAGTAATATATTTCTTTACTCATTACCCTCATTACTCTCATAATTCTGGATCTGGCCCCGCCCACCGCTGCTCGCGCTAGTCTGAGCAAAGAGCCGCCAGTCTCGCGATCTGGAGTAATGTGTCTGCGTCTGCTTTATTTGTATCCATTTCTATCCATTAGACTGCATATACAAATTCAGAAATATATGTGTTATTAAAAGGAAGTTGTTGTGCACTACCGTCTGGGACTAGCAGTCGTATTAGAATGGTAAGTGTATTTAGCATCTTATATTTATTAATGTTGTGTGTTAGCTTGCTAGCTTGTAACTGCAGTGGATGATACAGTGTGAGTGGTTGTGAAACAAACAATAATATATGGTGGGAGTGTTTGGTAAGTTTTGTAGGAAGTTCATGTGTGGTTTACGCAGGGGCGTAATTTTTATTAAATTAAATTAGAAAAATTATTGATTGCAATGCAAATGTGAAAGAAACACATTTTTGACCAAAAACATAAAGTGAACACAGGTGATATGATTAGGCCAATGGCCAGCACCCATTAGATTTTTGACCTACCCATATAGGCTAAATTACTTTGTGACACTTGAGTGACTTCCTGTTAGCTAGAGTGCCAAATTATTTGCTAACAGCAAAGTGAAAAATGTATCGTTTTTTAGTCCTTAAACGTCCACGTGTGGACACTCAATCAAAACCACCTGAAAGCGAGAGGGATTCTGCACATAATAGGCCTCGTGAGTACAAGTAGCTTACTTCTGGGTCTCTGTGTTTAATTCAAGCTCGGCTCTGTGTGTGTGTGGCACGAGCCATTTTGTGTGTGAGAGAGAGAGAGAGAGCTACTGGAGATCGTTGTGGTTAGCATCTGGTGCTAGCTAACCAAGTTAACGGATATAAGGAGCTTTTTCAACAACAAGGTGGAGGGAGAACTATCTCCTGTCAGACTGAGAGTCTCAGATAACCTCAGCTCAGGTGAAGTAAAGGACTCAGTGTTTAGATAGTTAACTTTAGTCTAGTTATCTCAGTGGGTCTCAAACGGTTTGTTTTAAAAGGGGAGTGATTTGTAAAATATCTATAAAGAAATAGAAAATCTGTTTACAGTTCTGTGTCATATGGGTTTTGAGAGATGTATCCATAGATCTCTTAATGTTGCTCTCAAACAACACCAGATTGATCCTTTCAACTTCAATATTAAAAAAAATCTTCCAGGGGAAGCATGCCCCCGGACCCCACTAGAGGAGGTGAGGTCCCTCCTAGAGGAGGTGAGGTCCACCCCCCACTTGTAAAAATAGCACTTTACCCCTGCTTACACCTACAGTGGGGCAAAAAAGTATTTAGTCAGCCACAAATTGTGCAAGTTCTCCCACTTAAAAATATGAGAGAGGCCTGTAATTTTCATCCTAGGTAGACTTCAACTATGAGAGACAGCATGGGGGGAAATAATCCAGGAAATCACATTGTAGGATTTTTAATGAATTAATTGGTAAATTCCTCGGTAAAATAAGTATTTGGTCACCTACAAACAAACAAGATTTCTGGCTCTCACAGACCTGTAACTTCTTCTTTAAGAGCCTCCTCTGTCCTCCACTTGTTAACTGTATTAATGGCACCTGTTTGAACTTGTTATCAGTATAAAAGACACATGTCCACAACCTCAAACAGTCACACTCCAAACTCCACTATGACCAAGATCAAAGAGCTGTCAAAGGACACCAGAAACAAAATTGTAGACCTGCACCAGGCTGGGAAGACTGAATCTGCAATAGGTAAGCAGCTTGGTGTGAAGAAATCAAATTATTAGAAAATGGAAGACATACAAGACTAGGGATGCACGATATTGGTTTTTTGAAACCGATACCGATACCGATAACTTCCTGCTTCTCAAGACCGATACCGATAATAATATAATATATATATATATTAAATGTACCTGTAGTTTTTGCACACCTGGTGGTAAAAAAAGACTAGTAGTGAGCAAATGACATGAGCATTACTACTATGAACAAAACAAAGCCAAGAACAGTTTTGACTCTTCAAAGTGACCATATTTATTTTCCCAAATAAAGTTCTTGCCTTTTTCAAAAGCCTCGTCGATAGGTAAAAGCCCCGGTGCCTTTGCAACTGGCTTTGGATTCGCCGCTAGTTTAGCAGCGCAGGCGTCTTCGTACGCTTTTAACACACCATTGTAGCGATGGCGATGTTTCAGGTGACTAATCAGGTTGGAAGTATTATAGCTCGTTGCCGTTTTCCCTCCTCGTGGAACTTCTGCATTTGTTAATACAAATAGCAAGTGAACTATCTAACTCTGAAACTTTGAAATAATCCCATACTACCGACGACAAGTTTGTTTTACTGGCTTCACGGCCGCACACCATTTACATCACAGCCAGGCATGAGTTAGGGAGCGCTGGATTTGTGAAAAACTCCCCTCTTCCTAAACCACTAATACCACAGTACTGGCAAAACGGGAGGAGCCGAGTGAAAAACAAGCGCCCCTCATCCCAATCCACCCACACCGCAGTATTTTTTTCTTTTTTTTTACCCAAAAAATATATTGTATATTATCGGGGCTATTAATAATTTTATCGGGTTTATCGGGATGACGTCATAATTCCTAATATCGGGCCGATAATTATCGTGCACCACTATACAAGACCACTGATAATCTCCCTCGATCTGGGGCTCCACACAAGATCTCACCCCGTGGGGTCAAAATGATCACAAGAACGGTGAGCAAAAATCCCAGAACCACACGGGGGACCTAGTCAATGACCTGCAGAGAGCTGGGACCAAAGTAACAAAGGCTACCATCAGTAACACACTACGCCGCCAGGGACTCAAATCCTGCAGTGCCAGACGTGTCCCCTCTGCCAGAGTTCCCGTTAGAATATTTTTTCGCCGGTCAACATGTCCGTTAAAGTTTAAATCTTCCGGATAAAATGAGAAAAGTGCCGGTCAAAGGTCTTCTTTGTTATTTATTGCGCTTTAAAACAAATTGATATGATTCGATATTAAACAAACTAATTATAGTAGATTAACTACATTATTAAAAAGTGTACAGTAATTTACAATAACACGGGAATAATAAACGGAGCGCTCTCCCTCTCCTGACAGCCCGTCAGTATCATGCAGCTCGCGGATCAGTAATGAGTGACCCGACAGTAAAACTAAACATATCTATAACTAGTTACGGTAGTTTGAGAGGTCATTAAAATAGCTAGGCCTACGTGTGATATTCTAACCTGGTGTGTGCTTTGTTCCGCTCACCGCTGCATGTGATCATCCAGAGCTGCGTGTCGACTCGTCAGCAACAGCTGATCTCTCTCCCCTTCACTCGCGTTTATGTCCATATCGATCAGATCTAGCTAGTTATAGCTAATGATATGACTACCTGCTTATTAAAAGACACCTAAACAATAAGCGTCGCTATGCAACCGGGTGAGGCCGCAAAGTATAGCGCAGCATTATGCATTTGTTTACATGCCCACCGGAACCCCGAGGCATTACCAACAGATCAACGCACAATCAACCCATACAGGACATCTCTTTCTCCACATTACGTGTTAGACATTAGAATTGACTATTCTTGTCTGTCACATACTCTTTTGTCTGTCACATAAATGGCGCAAGTTGCGCAACTGATGTGGTATTGCGCTAAACGGAAATTATTTTGAACGGACACTTTGACCGGAGAGATTTAGATTTGCCGGTCTTCAACATATTTTACCGGTCGTAGTCCGGTAATTACCGGCTAACGGGAACTCTGGTCCAGGCCCGTCTGAAGTTTGCTAGAGAGCATTAGATGATCCAGAAGAGGATTGGGAGAATGTCATATGGTCAGATGAAACCAAAATGGAACTTTTTGGTAAAAACTCAACTAAATGTGTTTGGAGGAGAAAGAATGCTGAGTTGCATCCGAAGAACACCATACCTACTGTGAAACATGGGGGTGGAAACATCATGCTTTGGGGCTGTTTTTCTGCAAAGGGACCAGGACGACTGATCCGTGTAAAGGAAAGAATGAATGGGGCCATGTATCGTGAGATTTTGAGTGACAACCTCCTTCCATCAGCAAGGGCATTGAAGATGAAACGTGGCTGGGTCTTTCAACATGACAATGATCCCAAACACACCGCCCGGTAGGGCTGCACGGTATTGAAAAAAACTGACATCGCGATTTTTTCCCCCCCTGCGGTATATATTGCGGTTTTTTTAACCTGTTAAACCCCAAAGTCCCGGCGGGTACTTTACTTTTTTTTTCTCACGACAGTGTCACAGGGGATCGTAATATTTAAGAACCTATTAATGTGTTATACCAGATTAACGGAAATAATCTCAGCTAACTGACGATACAAACCATTTTTACCAAAACAAAACACAAGTCTCATAAGAAGCATCTAAATGACCCCTGAGCGAAAAATGCTAACGCACTTTGGCACAGAACTCAAGATAAAAATACCCTTATTATTACTTATCGTAGCTGCACTTACAAGATATCCGATTAAAGCTGAGGTTCCACAGATTATTTAGGTATATAGTATCATCACTGAGTGATCTGAACTCGGACAGGGGAAGCAAACACAGACATCACAACACGTACCTTTACGTAGCTTCTAGGGGAGATGTCTCACCGTAGCTGTCAATCTGATCAAAAGACGTGTTCAATGGCATTAAAACGAGAAAGAAAAAACGCGGCTGAATCGGTTAATCCATAGGTTTTTAACGTCTCTCTATAAAAAAATGA